ATTCATGGTGCCTTTAACCCTCTGGGGACCAGAAACGCGTCGGCGCGTTTTGCTCGTTTTTTTTTCACATAGCAGAAAAATAGACTTAAAGTACTACCATCATTTCTGTTCATATAGAGTTAAGAAATATGAGAAAATAATCTGTTAAATGTCTACTTTTTTATGTGCCCACATACAATCGAAATAAAATATTGTGCTTTTGTAAAATAAAGAAAATAAACAGGGTGTGCATTCTGCCTCTCGGTCACCGTGAACTTTTTTTCTGGAGCACGTCTCTAATCTTCAACACAACTCAGCTAATACTATTCACCCAGCCATAAGCAATATATCTTTTAAATCATTTGAGTTTGTACTTTTAAATGATCCGATTCAAAACTAAAATTATTATTCTCCGTTTATGTCATCTATATAAAAAGAGAGACGTGTCAGCCCGTCTCATTATCGTTTCTCTCAGCTGATTATCTCTGGTAATGTGACACGCCCACGGAGAGCACGCGCTATTCAAACGCAAATATGTGAAGCAACACATTGAGACGCGTTAACGCCCATAAACTCTGAAAACACACATTATTTTTTAGTCAGATTAATCTACTGTCGTCTTGCGCGGCTATATGAGGAACAATCCTGGGACATTTACCACTGGGATTATTTTCACTTCGAGGATGAACAGATTCAGCTGAGAAGTTAGTGTTTTTTGCAAGTGCTTTGTTCTAATCGCGATATAGAATAACGTAGTGTCTGTAAACGGAAAAATAGCATACTGTTAAATGTGAATCATGTTTGTGTGTGTGTGTGTGTGTGTGTGTGTGTGTGTGTGTGTGTGTGTGTGTGTGTGTGTGTGTGTGAATGAATGAATGAATGAATGAATGAACGCACAGATATGCACTGTTACAGACTAAATGACAACATTTCGTTGACTCGTTTTGGATAAAGTTTTTACTCTAAAATAGACATCAAATAAGCTTTTGTTAGGAGTTTCTGCTCATATGTTAAATATATAGTATGTTTTGTCAATAAACTAATCAACTAAGATGTTATAGTGTTTGTTCAAGCTATATCAAAATAATGAATCCTCAACTTTGAAATATGTATGATCAAACTAAGACATTTATGGAGAAAGACAATTTTCTTTTCAAGATGTTTCCAACTCTAACTTTGAACTTTGAACTGAAATAAAACCATGTCTATATGGTGAAGGGTGTGTGATAGAAGTGTCCAGACGTATGCACCCTGTATTTTCCTTATATAAATCCAAACAATCTAAAAGCCATTCTTTTTTAAATCTCCTCATTCTTTGTGCAAGGCTCCTGTAATGATATGGCCTGATAGCACCTAATAGGGCCATTATGGGGAGGGTCTTTGTCTTTCTCAGGTGTGGAATGCCACACATATTAATGAGAGATCAAGCCTCCTGCATAAAGCTTTCTCAAACAAAACACGTCATTAAAAATGTAAAAGACTTTATTGACTTATCTGAATGAGTAGTCAGGATGATTCTCACATAGTTTTGGAGCAAATATTCTAGGCTATGTGATACAATTTTCAAAAGTCTTGTGAAGAAATAATCAATATGTGTTTTGTGGTATTATTTCAGCAACTTTCATTTTTATTTTTTTCAATAACCACGCATAAACATTATTCTATTAAAAATACAAAAATGTACATACATGTTGCTCAGATCTCATGGTAGCCAAGTTTGTGCTATATAGAGTGAATTTACACCTTTGCCATTAACATGTTTATAAATAACTGAAAAAAGCACAAATGTCAGTGCATGTCAAAACATCCCAAGGGCCCCAAAAACACTCTGGTCCCCAGAGGGTTAATAGGTCTGTGAAAGTCACTAAAAGTATTAACACGCTTGTTTCTATCAATCAGAACATTTTATTTTTGATTTGATATTTGTTTGTTATATCTGCTGTGTTGAAATTTAAAATGACCTCATCATATGACAGCAAACTGTCGAGAAAAGAAAAGCATTTTATTTTCCAGACATTTATTTCTTAAAAGTACTAAAATTATTATTATTTGAACCATTTAAGACCAAAAAATCTGAACTAGAATCTTTAACATTTGGTATTTGTTTGGTTGGTGGTTAAAATCCATTATAAAATCAGTTTTAAACAGTTGGGGTTTATTTCATTCAAAGGCAAAACATCTGGAAAACACACCAGTTGCAAAATTTAATATCCCCTCTCTTATTGTGCATTTACAAAAACTTCTGACGTATAGATCGGGTATAAAAATGAAAAACCATCTCCTCTAACTTTGCTTTCATTAATATGCTCCCATCTACTTGTGATTATTGCTTATGAGTGCATTATGAAAATGCACACATGCTTTTCATCCTTCTTGACATTTATTCGGTTTCACCTCGGATTTGATTTATTTGAGAGATGCTATGCTTGTATGGTGTTTGTGTTCGGCACAAGTGTTTTTCTTTCCTTCATGGAAATAATGACTAGGGATAATTGTGGAATACAGTGTTCTTGATATCTGCGCTGGAGCACTGTGCGGCCTGTAATTACAATGAGCGAATACAGATACAGTCATGCACTCGGATTCCTGCTAAGGCCCAGTAATGAGGTTTGATACGTTGCCTGAAGTGTGTGAACCTGTCGCCTGTTTAGATAAACCCAAAGTGCTAACACGCGGCAGCACAGGTCGGAAAATTCACCCAGCGAGCTGGAAGGACGAAGCCTGCTTATTGCTAACTGAACAACAAACTGATTAGCTCGCTTCCTTGCAGAGAATTAATTGTGTTCCTTGACGCTTAAAATTAATTTCCATTTTTTAATGTCCTGTTCGAAGGCCTTGCCGCAGATAAATAAATGTGATTGATGAGAATACTACGAGCAGTGTGTCGTGTGTAGCCACGGCGACTGCAGGAGATGAATGAAGCCCGAAGCCATGAAAGAGCTCAGGGTGTGTACCGATCTGGGTGTGTAAATAATATGGTATAACTGCCGTTACTTCCCCTTGTTTGTATCCAGCTTGATGGTTAATCAAACCTTTGGCATGGTGTGTAGTGAATGTTTGTTAATGCTTTAAGATGAGTGTGTTCCAGTACCCACAATCGCTTTCATGACAAGTTATAAAATATGTATTTTGAAGCTTAACGCTCTTTTAACATGTTAAAAGGGTAACTATTTTTGAAGTTGTCACACAAGCTACCGTACTAAAAAAAGACTCTGAGAAATGGATTTAATACTGTGAAACAGCTAGGTGCTATATAAAGCAATGCATTAGGCAGTGAAGTAGCCAGATAGAGGGCCGTGTCTGACAATCAATTACAAAAAGTTTTGAAGCTATTTCCGTAGTTCAGACTGCTTTGTGAGATTCTTTGAGACTGCCACCCACTCATTCAGTGCTTTTTAAAATATATATTTTTTGGGAAGTTTTTAATTGTTTAATACCTGTCTTTTTTGTAATACCTTACCACCATGTCTATATCAGGTGCAATGTGATATACAGTAGTCAACTTTTGAAGTGGATCAAAACCTTTCATCAAAGTTATACATGAATTTTGAACAATACCCGTTCTTGTCTTAGGACAACTTTGATGAACTTTTTTGATCCACTTCAAATGTTGACTACTGTATTTTTAGTGTGAAGTTATGCTGCTTGGTACTATAGAAATATAGACAGATGAACTTATAGACAACAAATGGAAAGCTAATCACTTGCGTTCACAGTTTGATTAATGCAGAATAAATGTTTTTGTTAGATACCATCATAAATAAGATAGAAGTAAAAATGATATAAAAATAAGGGACTGTTTACACAACACTGTTTTGAGGGCTGAAAATGCAAACTTTTGAAAATGGGATTCAAAGTGCAAGTTTTTTTTTTTTTTTATGTGTGTGCAAAAACTGCAAAAACATGAATAGGTGAAGACAGTGGCGTTATGTGCATACGTATTTCAGTCTGTAGGCACGTAATGTTTCTTCACAAAGTGACATCGTTGTCATGTAAGACTTCGTAATAGCTTCTTCCCACAGGCCACTAGAATACTTAACTCGCATTAAAATACACAGATATGCTGGCTGTTGGACTGTCGATACATGTACATAGAAGGACTGAATCACATATGCTGCTATCCCTGTGCTAGGTGCAATATACTACTATATGCACTATACCCACTGTGTATAGTATTTCTATAATTTTTGTATTACATCATGACATGAATCATGATGTAATATCAAACTCAGAAGTAGGACTTTCCCTGTTGTAATTGAAGGCAGCATTATTGCAACATCGTCTTTTCACTCTAAAAAAACAAAAACCAATGTTGAGCAGTAAGTGACTGGCAAAATGTCAGGACAAAACCATTCCATTTACATGGATGAGATTTAACATGTTGCATCTGGTTCAGATGCACTGTACACATTTATTTAAAGATTTGGCAAATTTAGCATTCTGGTTGCATATTTAGAGTAGCCTAAAACACAAAATTCACTTTATATTTATTTTTGCTTTCTTTTTTGTCCGTCCTTTTTCCAAAAATATACTTGAATTTGCAGTCTTATGGCATTCGCGTTCACTTCGAGATCAGGATTTAGCATTACTCTGTTTTTTGACTCATCCATGCCTGTTTGTCTGGCCAGGTGCGGCCCAGCAACCAGGACAAACATGTCAAAAAGTGACATGATGCTTCTGTCAGGCAAAACGCCGCTAACCCAAATATACCCTGACATATGATTTCCATAAACAAATGAATGCAAGTTCTGAATAGCAGACTGGAGCCTGCCTCCACGTCTATGTCACTTACTCTAAGTGACAGCTGACGAGTCGCCGGGCAGGTGTGAGACTCACTGTAACTAGCAGTTAACGCTCACCGGCTGAACACTTCCACACCTGAGTCAAAACCCAAATAACTCATATTCAGTGTGCCTTTAAGAAATGTCACATACTACAACCTGCTTCAAGACAGCTGCCGAACACTACTACTTTTTAAGGAGCCTATTTCAGTGCGAGTTTGTCAATGTGTGTGTTTTTAGGTGGCTGAGATGCATGGAGAGCTGATAGAGTTTAACGAGAGGCTGTACCGCTCCCTCATGGCCAAAGACAACCTGATTGGACAGATGAGACAGGAACTCATCGACCTGCGCGGTCCAGTAAGCACACGCAAGCACACACAAACACACACACATGCCTCTCTGTGGGTGTGTGAAACCATACCTTCATTGAGTGGTTGTTCTTTCTTCTTTATCTCTGCAGTCCAGGCACTCTGGGCAGATCGCTGTCTGCTTCCATAGGTCTGCCCCCTCTTCCATCATTAACTGTCTGTCTGGCCAATACACCATTACCTTCCTTTGTCTCAAACGCATTTACCTAGCTAACTAAACGAGGGCACTACTGTTTTAATACTTCTGTCAAATGCAAAACACATGTCTATAAATGAATTGGATTTGTTTGGTGACGCGTCTAAAATGTCTTCATTTCGATGTTTTCGACCATCAATATACTGCATTGCATATTCTTCATGTTGGTCAACATGAACTCAACATGAAAAATATTAAATATTGTCAACCCCAGCCATGTGATAGCTTTGTGTGAAGAAAACAGATTTGTTTTGGTCTGAATGAGATTTGAGAGCTTTGGCAGAGGAAAATGGGTTACACTTTATTTTAAGGTCCTTGTCCTTGTTACAGTGTAAAATTATACATTTATGTACTGTTGTATGGTAACCATTAGGAGCCAAGGGAGGTGATAGAGAAGCATAGGTGACAAAACAACGAAACACTAGAAAAATATCATTCACTAAGCATGTTTTTTATGATACCGGTACCAAATTGATACTTTTAGTTCAAAGTTTGTTTTTATTGATTTTTACAATATACATCACATTCACAATCCCCCACCCCTCACCATCCAATTTAAGAATGACACCCATACTATCCATTCATTCAAAATGTAATTGTAAGAACCAAGCATGCATACAATACTTACAAACATGCTAACAAACATAAACCACCAACCAAATACATTAAAAATAAATAAATAATAAAAAAGAAATAAATGAGAGAGAGAGAAAAAAAACACAAAAAAAAACAACAGTAGTGGCATTATTCAAACAGACTTATCAACATAGTCAAGAAAAGAACGCCACATCTTAAAAAATTGTTTTTCCGATCCTCTTAGTGAATACCTAATTTTTTCGAAGCAGAGACAGGACATCATATCTCTAATCCATTGAGTATGAGTGGGTGGCAAGGGATCTTTCCACTTTAATAATATTGCTCTACGTGCAAGTAGGGAAGAGAAAGCAAGGACTTTACACATTGATGCTGACAACCAAACGTCCTCTGGGGCAACTCCAAATAATGCCCAAATTGATACTTTTAAAACGGTACCAGTGCCTAAACGGTGCCTGAACCGATACTTAAAATAAAAAAGAGCCACAAAACGATGGTGGATGACATTAAAAAACTTCTTTTTTTATTGAAGAAATAATAATTCTTTAAATTGAACAATATATTAGAAGTTTAAAGTATACTTTAATGTAAATATATATATATATATATATATATATAAGTAAATACAAAACAACAAATGTACATAAATTCACAATAAAACCTAAGCCAACTACAATAATTTAATAGACACTTAATAACACTAAATAATTACAGTACTAATAACAGCAAAGTAGTAATTTCATAAAGAAATTATATCTTGTTTTGTGAAGAAAAAAAATCTAAATTTAGTGAGTTTTTGCTTCTGCCAATGGAGTAAGAAAAATAATATTTTATTCAAATGGAAAATGAGAAAAATAAACAATTCAAATGGAAAACAAGATTATTTTTCTTACCCCATTGGCAGATAATTTTGCTTGTTTAATTTTGATAATTATTTTCAGAAAACAAGGTATAATGTCTTATGTCATTTTACTTATCTAGTAAATTCTTCTTGATTTAAGAATTTTTAGATATTTGGACTGGAAACAAGACAAAAATACTAAGTAAGTAAAGCATTTTTTGCAGTGTTATTGACTTTGTTTCATAGACATCAGTTTTTATTTTGCAAACTATAAATGTATTGCTTTGCTAGTACTTATGTGTATTTAAATGTCTGAAACCTAAAACAAAGATTATGTGATTGAAAACACTGAATAGTTGATAAATGAAAAGCACTTCCGTCTCTGGCTCAGTGCCAACCAAAGCGCGACAACACATTTGAATTGTTATAATCAATTCACTGTTATACACTGTTATAATCATTCTGGTGTGATCGTACGTGTCAAAGGGTGGCATCGAAATCTGCGTTCTGATTTGGTCCGGTACACACAGGTCATATAGGTACCGGTGCCAATGGTTTCGGTACCCAACCCTAACTCACGGTGGTTTTGACTTTTGCACTGATTTACTTATATCTAACACAACAGCTGGCTGACAATGTCACATTGGATTGTCACTGTTACCAAGTAAACTAAATTAACAACGCACTTACTATAGGGTTAGGATTAGGGTTTGGTTTAGGGTTAGTTGCATGTAATTATGCATCATTTACTGTTATTACTACAGTAAGTATAAGTAACGTGTAACAAAGACACTGTAAAATAAAGCGAAATTGTTTTGTGAATAACGTTTACATTTTTTGTCTGTTCCTCGCACAAAGCTATTTTCTATTTTTGGATAAAGTATCCATTTAATTTGACCTGTCTGTCTCTAGTGGCATTCTCAGCCACAGTGCGTTTCACCTCGTGGCTTCCATCCATCTTCTCTCTTTCCTGTTCGCTGCTTATCTGTTGGCCACTGATTACTTTTTGATACATCTGACGGCAGTGGCTTTGAACCATGGCCTTCTGTAACTGTGCTGAACTGTATACGGTGGATGGTTTATCTAGCCTCCATGGCTCATGTGTCTGTTCCTCTCTGGTGCCACTGCCTGCCAAGATGCAGCAGCCTGTGAGTCGTGACCCCTGTAAATGCTGACATTACCACACTTTCACCACAAGATAAGATGCACACTCAAATAGGATTAGAGCCTGTTCCCGGTTAGGCTCATGTGTTTTCAGGAATGAGGGGTAAATGTGTAGTCATTTAGAGCTTCATGTAAATTTAGCTTTTTCCTCCCTGGAAACAGATTTTCGGAATCAAAAGAGAAACATTTCGTCATTAAAATTTTTCCTTGGGACCAAATCAATTATTTTCAGTGAATATTGCTGGACTGTCATGCTTTTTATCAGATAAGACAGTAAATTACAGAATGTAGCTGGTTTGGAAGTTTATGCAACAGTACAGTGTTAATCAGCAAACTCAGCTGGACGCAAAAGGAAACGTTCACCATGACCTCATGCGCTCTGCTTTTTGGACAGGTGCCAGGGGACCTGAGCCAGACCTCTGACGATCCCAGCCTATCTGACTTCGAGACGTAAGTGGCCTCCTACTCGCTGTTCTTTTTATATTTGTATGTATGTGTGTTGGAGGTGGTGTACAGCGAGCCTCTTTAGAGAATCAAATCGATGGTATGGAATTCCATAAAGAGATGCCTCCGATCTGACGGAAAAGACTGTGCTAAAAATAGGGAGGTTGAATGCTGCTTCTGTTTTTACATTTGGAGCTTTCACGTACCTCTTCCACACAGCTATAACCTTTGTACATGAGAAGATGTCAGTCATTAACAATGGCTTGAAGGAAATGTATACAATGTTAAACTTGTGGGTCATGTAAAAGGCTATTTCTATATTGTATTCTATTACAATGTAGAACTTTTTGTTCGACATCGATTGTAATGATAGTAATGAAAAGTTGCTCATATCTACCTACGTTTCACTCGATTTTACACATTTCACTCTGTAGTTTGGGAAAAGTCCAAATTATAAATTGTGTACAAGTTTATGTAAAAATAGAATATATGTAATAAAAATAAAAATAAAAATAAATTACTTGTTCATCAGAAATGATATTCTCTGCTGAATTAAGCCTTCGTCTGAGGTAAATACTGACATATTCCTCAAGGTGGAAAAAGTAGATGCATCTGATGAAGCTTGATGCTTTGTTTTATCGAGGCAATATGGAGGGTGTTTGCGTCTCGGATGGATGGTAACCGAATAAATAGCCTGAGCTGCATGTGGTTGTGACCACATTACAGATAATGAGCTCAGGTGGGAAACACTGTACCTCTTGTTGGTTTCATTTAGAATATTAGAGAATATCCGTTTCGATTCCATTTCAAGCTTTCTATAGGCATATTTCTCCTGTATGTGAGGCAAGTATATGCTGAGTTTCGGTTAGTTTTGAGATTCCTGTTTTCATAATTGTACAAAACACAATATTTTGTTGTTTTTGTGACTGTACTGTTGTTTTTCGATCGCATTGGTTTCATCCACCGACTTCAGAGAGTTTATGGTTTAAGTATATCATTTTTTCCCCTGTCTGTTTGTTAAAAGACCGTTTTTTTTTTCAGACCCCTGGGCAGATAAAGTTATTATAGCTACACTAAATGTCTCTTCTTTTGAGATATTCTCTAATTAGACTTTCCCTATGTGTTCTTTCCTTCCCTGTCTCTCTAAGAACTCAACGTGCCCTTGTCAACGTGTGGATCCCCTCTGTGTTCCTTCAAGGTCGGGCTGCCAACGCCTATCATGTATATCAGGTAGTTCTTTTAATCAGAATTTAATCCACCATGTACTACTGGAAAATGTGTAATCTTCTCCTAACCACCCCTTTTCCTCACAGTATGTAATTGAAATGCTCTGTCATTTGGACTGTATGACAAGTTTGCTGACTTAAGCCAAGTGAAAAAAGACTGAAGGTTGATGTCCTTTGAACAGTGGTGAATCATGGTTGATTTATTTACTATCTCTATACTCCCAGTTTTCTGTAAAAAAAAGAAAAGAAAAAGTTATTACAAGAGCATAAAAATCCAAAATATCATAGCTTAGTTGTGGGCAGTGTTAATTTTTTTAGTCATATTTTAGTCATCTGAATTGTTTCAGTTTTAGTCATTATATTGAGGAAATCCATTGTATACATAGCCTAAGTACTTAAATTGAAGAGTACATCTGAAACAGAAGAGTTCGATACTTTTATTGTTTTGTAGTTCGGTCGCATTTTTATTGCATGTGGGACTATGTTAAAACAAATATTTCTCCCAGATTTAGTTTAGAATGAACTACAATAAGTAAAAAATAAAAATTGTACATGTGCTAATGTGAGTCGCCATTGGAAAGACCGCTGGAAAAGAGAACAGACAAAAGCATGTTGAAATGACCCCAAACCGAAGTACATTGTATCCTGCACAACAGGCATGTTGACATATAGAGTATACAGGTGATATGACACTTTGTAATGTTGCTATTTTCATACAATAGTGACCCATGCACTTTCTATAATAGTACAGATTACCAGGAGACCCTCATAAGTAGCAATAGTGCCCCCACATATTAGTTGATTTTGCTGAGTGAAATGGTTTTTCGATTTTCTCTGAGTGTTCCCTTGAGTCTGGCCTTGAAATGGATCCCCATGGAAATGGATCCATTGTTTTTTCAAGGCATGACTGATGGATAATGCTTTCCACTATTTTAGATTTAACCCAGTATAGCAGGGCTTCTCATTTTCTGATATGATTGATGACTCCAGGCGCTTGTGTCTCTCACGTGAGCACTAATGTCATCGGCATGTTTATGTGTTGGAAAATACCTGCATTCATTTATTCTTTCATGCAGAGAGATGCCCACTAGTGTCTAGACTACACTACACTTTCAAGAGCCCGTCATGATTTTTCTTAGCGGCCAGTGTTCAGAAAACTTCCAGTTAGGGTTTTATGATTGGAATAGCACAGGGTAACTATAGACATTAACTTAATGTGCTGTTTATAGATTACAACGTGTTCTTCAAAAGTAATGAAAATGTGCAGTTAAAGGGGTCAAGACAACCCTTAGCACTGTTGTCAAGGGTATGTTCATTACCCATGTTTTTGGCACAAAGAAAGAGAGAGAGAGGGAAACATGTTTTTTTTCAGGTTTCTTTGAATAGAAAGCATTTATGGCATTTTAGGCATTTATCTGAAATGGAAATCTTTTGTAATATAAATGTCTTCACTGTTACTTTTTATCTATCCAATGCATCCTTGCTAAATAAAACTATCAATTTCTTTCAAAAAAGTATTTACCTCAAACTACTAATATATAGCTAATAACATATAATTACAACTACATAATTACAAATATTTAAATATTATTTACTGTTTAATATAGCTGAACAATAGATAGTATCTTCATGCTATCCTTATTTGTTTAGCCCTGCTGTTGACATAAATTAATCTTTGTTATAGCCCACAGCAGTATTTGTTGGTTAAAAGACAACAAATGAACAATCTATGATCTCTAAGAACTGAACCATATATTTATAGATGTGCTTTTGCAGCCGTTCAATGTGCTAAATTTCCTTCTAAAAGTAGAATAATACAGAGTGCGATGCATCTCCATGTGAATCCATTACAATAGATCCTGAATTAAACATCAGCATAGATGACAGTGCATTCTGATCTATATTGAGTGACTGTATAATTTGGTAACAAAAATAATATATCAAAAAGTCATCTGGCTTATTTCATTTTATGAGTCAGTGGCTCCAAAGACACATTTTTTTTTTTAGTCTTGAGTCCTGCAGCAGATTATGGCACATTACCACCACCGTCCAAAATTGCAGTTACTCCATTTCCCACTTTTTGTGTTTCTGCCACTGCTTTGAAATTACCCCCTATAAGATAAATCAGAGTGCCGTTGAATTCCATAGAAAGAATGTAATTGATCTTCAGTAATATTACCAGGGCTTTGTTGTGTTGTGAAGATTTCTACCTTCTCATTCACGCTTATGCAATTTTGCCAGAAAGGTTTATTAAAAAAGCGGATGTAATGACTGTTATAATGTGGATTTACTGGGGCTGTGTCGTTCTGGTGTTTTCCTCTATTTCAGTGCAAACGTTCTTGGTGATGTCTCGCAGAAATGGCTTATATTCTATGTATGGTTGTGCCCCTTGATCTGAAGTGTTAATGGTGCTGCTCTGCCTTTGTAAAGAGTTGCTGTGGTGATGGGGTCTTATAAAGAGATTTTATATGGTGGCAGGCAGCAATCGCAGAATACACCTTTCTCTCTTTTCATCACCCTGTTCTTTTCACCTTACCCTTCCCAAAAGATCTGCAACCTCGCATTGCTCCATGCATACATACATGCACGGTTGTCGCTACGGCGGGTTTTCCAGACTGACAGATCACTGTCAGCCAAAATGTCTACCAGCCAAAATGTTTTGAGCAAACTATTATAGTATTTCCCATGTGTTTTTATATGCAACATTATGAAATTAATGCATCAGTAAATTAATTGATCATGAAATGTATACATTAGTGGAGTAATTGTGAAACTATTTACTCTCAGCCATGGTGTATTTAGGCATACGTGATATATGAGGTTGTGGGGAAGTGTTCATAAAAAGGCTTACCTCCGACCTCCTTACCCATTTTTGTGTTTAATAAGGACTCATTCTATCCCCGAACCCTTAGAGAAAAAATTCTGCGGTTTTGCATTTTCAAAAAACGGACAAAAAAACCCCATCAATTAGTATCATTTATAAACATTTTTTCCTCTTGGGGACTAAAATCTTGTCCCCACAATGTCAAAAATGGTTTGGTTTTACTATCCCCGTGGGGACGTTTGGTCCCCACAACATAGGGAATACCTGGACCACACACACTGTACATAATATGTAATTTGATCAATACATGTGTAGCAAATTAGCATAGAAAGTATAGAAATATTAATAATCAATAATAACTTGTTATAATTGATTATGAATATTCGGATCAGTTAATATAATTAACTTAATGTAATAAAATTAATATTACAATCAATTAACCTGTTTGTGCCGTGAACACTTAGTGTTAATTGTTTATTAATTGAAAGAAATGTACATTTCCGGGTTGTCTTGATGACAGAGAACCAGTGGGAGTCAGAGGATCTTTGGTGAATGGAAAGACAAGGCCGCAGCCTGGCACAAACTTGGGGGTCCTTAGAAAACTTCTAGTTCAGCATCATCTTCACATCAGGATTTCAGGAAGGAACTAAAAGACTTAAGAGGTTAAGACACTTAGAGGCGTGATCTTGTGATCATTGGTTTTTAAAGCGTGAAGATGTCACACCCTCTGGAGGGTTGTGAGCCATTACAAAGTTGTTCCCTTGGAGGGAATTTCTTTACGACCTTTTGTTCAAGCAGACCTTTGTACATGTAATTTGATTGGGTGTTTAACAAAAGAATCTTCAAGATTCTTATTATACTAATGCGTCACAAAGTTGGCAAAATGTAATGTAAATGAACAAATGGGGGACGAAGATTGGAGTTAAGACTAGATAGAGACTAAATATGCTACACATATGATTTTGGTTAACCATAGTATGCAAGTCTGAAACATTAATCCAAAAGAGTTTAAAAGAGAGAATGAATACATAGGCCAAACCATATAAAAGGAAAATCATGAGATGGGAAAATTAGATGCATGTTTATACATTTCTCAAGTGGTTATATATAGAATATATAGGATTAAAAGGGTTTATTTTTCCTTCTCAGCAGGAATTAAGTGAGAGTCACAACTCTCTGAAAATTCCTTTTGGGGTCGTAAAAAGTCTTATCAGTCTTAATGTGTCCTGTAACAGGACACCGGGTTCTGCCAGTGTGTTAGCTTCATTTAGGACGTTAGTTTTGGGGGGAAGTTTCATAGACCTTTGTTGGGAGAGTGAGTTTGCTGGATTATTCATTAAATATAATGAATAATTTGTGTGTCTGATTGGTCCAGATGCTACACATGTATACCAAATAGGGGTGGGAATCACAGGGTTTCCTCACGATACGATACACGGCTCACGATACCGATAATATCACGATACAGCAATTCTGCGATAATCGATATATCGCTAGACAAACAATAATGATACATCACGATATCTGTCTACTATGAAAACAAAATGCCTGTGAAAAGGTTAAGTGCGGGTTTTCTCTCTTTATTCAAGTCCAAACTGTTAGAAAACAGCTCAAAAAAAGTTTTTCAGTCTGTAAATTGGGAACATCTCAGTGTATCTATCAGCGGATCCCTAATATATCCACTGATAGACATATCCGCTGATAGACACTTGCTTGTGTAAGCGCTTGGTGAAGAGCATCAAATATGTCTATTTACAACATGTTTGTCCCATCAATGGTATAAAAGGCGAAGTGGGTCCAGACTTTGGACTTAAACGTGGTTTGGCATCTATTATTTTACTCACACTCACCAGCAGGGAAATCTATTTAGAGCACCATATTTTATCATTTAAAATATCGATATTTGGCGCCAGCGTATCGATTCTCGTATTTCACGGAGAAGGACAACGATATATCGCCCTATCAATATTTTGTCCCACTCCTAATAACAAAGCTGTTAATTGGATGTTCATTCCTCTTTAGCAGTGTTGCATTTTGTTAAGGTCATCCTGGCACCGTTTTTAAGTGTAGACTGGCCCGACACTGATGCCTTCAACAAAGTAACCGTGTTTTTGCCCTAAATACTTAAAAAGGGGCTAGAATAGCTTCCTTTGCAAGGCTTTCCCTGGTGTTCCAGTGCT